GCATGATAGAAGATAGATCAATAGAGATAGATGATAGATAGAAGATAGAGATAGATAGATGATGCATGATAGAAGATAGATCAATAGAGATTGATAGATAATTGATAGACAGAGATGATGTGTGATAGAAGATAGATAGATAAATAGATGATGCATGATAGCAGATAGATAGATAGATAGATAGATAGATAGATGATAGATAGGTAGATAGATGATGTATGATAGATAGAAGATAGATCAACAGAGATTGATAGATGATAGATAGATAGACAGAGAGATGATACATGATAGATAGAAGATAGATAGATAGATGGGATGTAGATAGAGATACAAATGCAGATTTAAAGGGGTGATATTCGTAACATATACTTCATTTTTCTGCTTAAAGAAAAACTGATGTTTATATTCCCCGCAAACTTTCTTAAAATGTTTTTTTTGCCACTCATTTTGCCATCAACCAATCCCTCATTTCACTGTAGATTTTTTACTATCTACTTGCGAGAGTTAAGGGTTACTGAAGAAAGAATACCCGATACCATGAGAGAGCTTTGGAGAGCAGATGAAACAAACCTGCCTCTGGGGAAGTGGACAGAACAATAGCCCAGAAAGAAGGAAACGATCCCAGCATCAGCCAGATGACATCACTACAGAGTCCAGATGTGCAACCCTCCCTGGCCTCTTTAATGGAGTTGTTATTTAAAGATGTGTTTTGTACACATCTCACGCCAAGCGCAATTAACGCAGCCATCCAGGTGCGTCCCTTGCAGATTTCTAGCTGACCGAAATCTAACAGAGCAGGACGGGACCTTGGAGGTCTTCTAGTCTAACCCCCTGCTCAAGCAGGAGACCCTATGCCATTCCAGACAAACGGAGGTCCAATCCCTTCTTAAAAGCCTCCAGTGATGGAGCAGCCACAACTTCTGGTACCACTGGTGAATTGTTCTCACGGTTATGAAATTCATCCTTAGTCCCAGGTTCCTTCTCTCCTTGATGAGGTTCCATCCGTTGCTCCTTGTTGTGCCTTCAGGTGCCTTGGAGAATAGCTTGACCCCCCTCCTCCTATCTGGGGCAGCCCCTCAAATATTGGAAGTCTGCTATCATGTCACCGCTCGTCCTTCTCTTCCCTAGACTAGCCAGGCCCAGTTCCTGCAACTGTTTTGAGCATCCAGTCCCCTCATCATCCTGGTTGCTCTTCTCTGCACTCTTTCTAGAGTCTCAACCTCGTGTTTATACCATAGTGACCAAAACTGGACGCAGCATTCCAAGTGTGGTCTTACCAAGGCCTTATAAAGCGGTACGCCCAGTGGTGGGATTCAACCGGTCCGCACCACTTCGGCCGAACCAGTTGTTAAATTGCTGGCTGGCCCCTGTAAGGAGTGCCTTACACGCCCCGTTTTGGCTCCCAGGTAAGTGCAGGGAGGCCCGCTAGGCTGAAAACAGGGTGCGGAGGACGTAGTGTGGCCTCCCTTTGTGGCCCATTTTTGCTCCCGGGGGTGGTGGTGGTGCGGGAGGCCGAGTGCTGCTTTGGCCATGTCCACCCAGCTGGTTATTAGGGCAGAGAACTGGTTGTTAAATTATTTGAATCCCACCACTGGGAACATCCATCTGGAAACCTCTGTTGAGTTGCTGGAGGTGGCAGCCCAGCAGAGGTGGGATTCAGCTGGTTCTGAAGAACGGGTAGCGTAAACGTTGAGTAGTTGGGAGAACCAGTAAATCCCACCTCTGTGCCCTGCAGAGGAGAACGGAGCTGGAAAGCAGGTTAGTGGGGTGGGGAGGGAATGGGGTTTTGCAGTATCCTTCCTCTTGCCATGCCCATCAAGCTAAGCCACACCCACGGAATTGGTGGTAAAAAATTTTTTGAATCCCACCACTGATATAGATAGAAGATAGATAGACAGACATACAATATAGATGATAGATAGATGATATAGATAGATATTCATTAACAATAGACAGATAGAAATGATAGGTAGATATAGATCAGAGGTGGCATTCAGCTGGTTCAGACCAGATCTGGAGAACTGGTAGTGGAAATTTTGAGCAATCCCATCTCTGACTGGCCCCGCCAACCCCACCTCTTCTCTGTCTCCTGATCGGCTGGGTCTTCTTTGGTTGCTCCGCACAGGAGAACGGAGCTGGAAAGCAGGTTAGTGGGGTTGGGGAGGGAATGGGGATTTTGCAATAACCCTTTGCCACACTCACCAAGCCATGCCCACCAAGCCACACCAAGCCACGCCCACAGAACCGGTAGTAAAAATTTTCTGAATCCCACCACTGGGTACATCCATCTGGAAACCTTTGTTGAATTGCTGGAGATGGCAGCCCAGGGACTACTAGGTGCTTTTGCTCCGATTCCCCGCTCCAGGAAGTCACCGAGGAATGAAATGTCACCGCCAAAGAGCCAGTATCTCACAACCCTTGACTCACAAATAGGATTTCCTTCACCACAGAGCAAAGGGCTGAGATAACGGCTGAGAGACCATCTGGACTTACTCAGCACCGGATACGCATATATTCTC